TTGGCCTCATTGTGAATACATTTTTCTTGATCACCAACTCCTGGAACGGAACTTGCATATAGAGCTTCTTGCTCTGATATCCATCACATCACAAGACCTCCGGTATTATTAACAATGTTTAAGATTTTATGTTCTAACATATAATGTACATGACATATACAAAGAATCAATGCTACAACTGATTTTTTAAAAAACAAACATCTCTATAAGGGTGCTGAAGTTATTTGATTTCTCTATCATAAATCTCATGGCATTTTAAGATACAAAAGAAAGCTGTTGTTATATCTCACAGTTGGTATGCACTTTAAGACACATGCTTGTGACTTCATCACTATCAAACCATGTGACTTGAGGGTATGAAGATCTCAGACTCCAACTTAACTAGAACCATTCAAAGCAGGACACACTGGTGGAAGTGGGCTACTGTGTGTATTCAATAGCTTAGACAAGACAGAGATGTGCCTGTGGCTCTAATATATGCATTAAACACCTATTGAAATCTCCAAGGCCACATTATCTACATCTAGTTCTTATGTTATAACATCTAACACAAGCATTGCCCCATCATGTACTACAAATACTGTTCTGGAGGCAAGGGCTATGCAATAGTGACAGATCATCGTAAGGAGCAGTTGTCGCTTGTTAAAAGGGTTAAAGTTCTCAGTGTCAGATAAACAACAGCCCTGTATTTCAAGGGGTTTGGAAAACTAATAAGCACCAATTGTCGAGAGTAGGAATCTGTCAAAGTCATCAGCCTGAAGGCTAAGTCGCTTAGTTTCTGCTTAAAATAGGTTAAGCCAGAAGCCCTGTCTCTCTTAAAAATGAATTATCTGCCTTCTTTCTTGTTTAAAAGTAAATAGAGATTTCCTGAATAAAATGGAGCTTTTGAAACACTAAAATAAAGTTTTCTAAGCTAATCAGAGTTACTTATGTGCAGTAGTTGGTTGTCTTTCCAAATCACAGGAAAACCCTGGTGACATCACCAATCCTTATTTGGCATAAATGCCACCTAGTGGCAGACATGTGCTACTGCGGACTCTACTTCTAAAAGTAAAAGTACTTAAAGGCATTGAAGGAGCAGCAACAGTGAAAAATAATGTCCATTGCATGGTGGCAGCTCAAAAGCCACTCAATCTATTATACAAATGCTGACCTTCAGAGACAGCTATCCACTATTCTACAGATTTTATCAATTTTCAATTATCTAAAAGTAACCACATCATTTTAAAAGGCTATCATGGATTCTGTGGCAAACACTGTATCTAGTAAGATATTTCAAATCCTGATAATGTTCTGTTTTAAAAATGATCTCCCAATCTCTCTTTGTTCATTGGTGATTAGTTTGAACTTATGCCTTAGTTACTATTTCAATCTTGAGTGAAGATAGCCTTTTCCCGATTGACCTTATCAAAATCTTTTGTACTTTTGAACATCTTTATTGGAAACTTGTTAGAACTAAAAAAAACACAAAGTAAGTCCAAAAATTCTAAACTCTTCTCACAACTAAAGCATTCGTCATTGCTATCAACCTAATGAAATGCAGTTTAACATTTAAACAGTGGAGCCCCACTGATGCTTTTCTGTTTGCATCATTGATTCCACGGCAGAATTCCATTTTTCACATCATTTTCCTGAAGAAAAAATCAGTAACAGAGGGTGCTTCAATTTACATATATAGGGCAGCTCATGAATAATTGTCAACTGTTATAAAAAGTAGCAATAATGGTATTAATGCAGAGTATGAACATTAATTGATAGCACAATAACAATTTAAATGATACCTGAATTCCCATCTCAGCTCCTTCAGAAATGTGCATTGTTCCTTAAATTAATAGAGTGTGGGATCATTGAGGGAAGTTAAACTGTGTCCCCCTTTTGCAGGAGTCAGCATATCATGTTTTGAAACTTAAATGGATGCTGGGGGTTAATTCTAATAGTTACTGAGAAGTTACACTGGATTGTTATTCTTTAACTTCTCCTAAGTAGCTATTAGCAGAAGCAGAACCCTCTGAATTTCCAGACCCAGTGGAAATACCCATCAGAATTTTCAATTTCTCAAGCAACTCATAGAATCATAGAATTCCTATAGTGCAGAAAAAGGCCATGTGGCCCATTGAGTCTTCACTCACTCTCCAAAGAGCATCCCATCCAGATCCAGCCTCCCATCTATCCTCAGGGCTAATCCACCTAGTCTGCACATCCCTGCACACTACGGGGTAATTTAGCATGGCCAATCAACCTAACCTGCACAGCTCTGAAGTGTGGGAGGAAACCAGAACACCCAGCAGAAACGGGGAGAATGTGAAAACTCCACACAGTCACTCGAGGCTAGAATCAAACCCAGGTCCCTGGCACTGAGGTAGCAGTGCTAACCACTGAGCTATATGCTATCCAGAGTACCTGCTGTATCTGGGATTCCACAGGGTCCTCATAAGTGACTCCAGTCTGCACTGCTCCAATGACCAATTTCAGGGTCATTGCAATACCCAGGCTAATAATTTGGATTTCAATCCCAACATTGAAATCTCAGCCTCAGCCTGTCATTATCAACCTAACCTTGGTCCAATATTAGCATATTTTCCACCCTTTTTGAACCATAACCACAGATGTTCTAGCTGTACATTGCTATTTTCATAAACATTTTAACTTCACTCCCCATTATGTCTCTAACCATGCATGACCTTCCACCTAGATCCTCCAGTCTCATATGTCACATGAAGGAGAGGAATAAATATAAGCATAAATGGTTATGTCATAAACAATAGAAGTTAATCGAATGAACAAAACAAGATATTTATTTTTAAGTAAAAAGATGTTGTGATTATAGTCAATGAATGTTTTCAGAAATTATTGGGCATTAATAATATGTTGCTTGGAGTATTTCTTGTCATTATCTAAAAAGAAAGCAGATTTGTTTTTTGATATTTTCTATGAAGCTGTGAGAAATTGTTCTTTAATAGATTGTTCTGCAGGGGTAATTTACTGACTCTATGTTCCTGGCAGGGCAACCTCCTGCTCAGTGTGCATATTGGATATTCTCACACATGCTGCACACCATTTTCAAACCATACTGGCAATTGGTGTAAACTACATGCTGAATTTTTGATATGTGGTCTCACTTGGAGAGGCTCCCTGCTGAAAGTGCAAAGCAAGCTGATTGACCCTTACTTATTAGTTCTTTGGTGTTGCATGCTGTCATTCATGGGATTACCAATGAACAATGCTTTTTCCATCATGGTAAACATTTGTATGGTTCAAACTTTTGTTCTGTCGCGTTAGTCTGGGCAATTGCCCTCCCATTTTTTATTTCATTATTTTATTCATAAAATTAATTTACATGTATATGGCTAAAATAACAAAGCAATTGTTACAATTTCTTTGAGATCTAAATATTCCAATTGTTTGAAAGAAACACAAAGGTTCATTTGCATGGAAGAACTTTTTTATAATCAGAGCATAAATCCTGTTATCTTTCCATGGGATGTGGCAGAACAATGATCTGAACTATTTCAACACAGCAAGTGGGTTGAAAACTACAACTAATTTTAGTCATACAAATAGTGTCAATCATTAGCACTCTCATGAGCAGTCTTTATTCTAACTGGATAAACGTAAAATAATAGAACTAACAAGTAAGTGGCAGTCATGATGTCACTGTCTCTCTCTGAAGATAATGCTCTGGAGCTGATAACATTAAATGGACCACCCAGCATCAACCTAGGCTACAGAGAAAAAAAAGGCACACTCTTCACAGAACATTCCTATAAAGTCCTGCTCAATGACATTTAAATATTTGTGCCAAAATTGGGAGAACAGTCTGCAGCGTAGTCAAGCAACTGCTTGTTCCAGGTACTGCCATCAGCTTTCCTGACTGTGTCCTTTCCCACAAATAGGACAGGCCCACCACGCGTGGCAGTGCAGTGTTATATACCTGTGACAGAGTATTGGCAACAGTGATCACCACACAGAAGGCTTTTGGAATCAAGATCCCATCCTTACATTGACAAGAGCGGCCATTGTGTTTTTTGAGGTGCCCATTAACAATGGCCTGGGCTCTGGTGGGCCAGCTGTGCTCGGGGTGGGGGTGGGGGGTTGGTCTGGCTGTGCTCGGGAATGGGGGCTGTGGGTGAGGTTAGGGATGGGGGATGGGGGATAGTCCAGCTGTGCTCGGGGGTTGGGCCGGCTGTGCTCGGGGGATGGGGCTGTGGGTTAGGTTAGGGGTGGGGCTGTGGAGGGCGTTGGGCAGGCTGTGCTCGGGATGGGGGATGGTCCGGCTGTGCTCAGGGTGGGGAATGGGGCTAGGGAATGGTCCAGCTGCGCTCTGGGATGGTAGAACTGCCCCTTTCTGAGACACTGTTGCTCACAACTGATATTTACCGATCAACCTGTTCAGAAATTTTTTGACACATCTCTGAAGTAGGCAGGTCTTGAACCTGGGCTTTCTGGCGTCACTACCACTGTACCATTACAGCCATTTATTTCACTCACTACACCAGTAATTTAAAAAAAAAAGGACAGATATCAACAATTACAAGCTGTTTGACCTCCATATTACAACAACAGTGTCAGTAATGACTGATGACATGGAGCAGCAGTTGTTTTCTGAAGTGTATTCTGACAAATGGATGGGGCATTAAAACTACTGCTGACAGTGAGAATGGACAAGCAGGTGTTGTCCCTGTGCTTTCACAGACGGAAATTCATCAATATACTAAAAAAAGTAATCAATCAAATTAATCCCATATCTGGACAATGTCTGCCATAAATAGCACTGATCAGAGCTTCATCAATAAACACAGGCCAATGAGAATGGTTAACACTGGCTAATGAAATTACCAGATCACACCAACCTCAAAATTGCTGCATTAACAGTAATGCACATCAACCTTTTAACTTATTCCTGAAATATAAAACAAATAGCAATGGCACGTATGATTCATTTTTCTCTTTATCCGTTACAATTAAAAGCAGAAGATTGTGCGAAGTTAAGTGTTACCTACCTTGCCGTACGGCCAACGTAGTTGTGTAAACCAGGAAGAGGAGGATGTAGTTAAGAAAGCTCTGAAATACTGGAGTGTTGGCATGGAAGTCCTCCACCAAGTACTTGCTAGTCAGGCCTATACCACAGATCAACAATGACAGCACCTGGCCCAGTGCCAGCGACAGCAGCAGTTCTCTAAAGGAACAAGTGATCTGCATATTAGGGCAAAATCAATGACCAAAGACAAATTCTTTCACTGACTGATTGGCAACACAGTTAGGGCCCCTAGGGAGCCATATCTCAATTAGGATGGAGATAAAACCAAAAGATTTACAACCCTACTACAACATCTAACGGCTCAATAACGGATTTTATTTTTACCAAGTTCAAAATTTTCAGCCAGCATGTCCAAAATGTAGAACAGGCAGCTGTCAGCATGGCTGCTTTCACAGCTCAAGCCCCATGGGTAGAACTGCAGTGTAAATTTAAAGAAGCTGTGTTTTCTGGCAAATGACTTGTCACACCATCATTCTGAATATAACCAGTGAAAGGAAAGATCTTGACTTGCAGTGACAACTTCATTCATGCTTGATACTCTAAGAGAGGGGTCTCATAAATTAAAACTTTCAAGAAAGCTGATGTTTATAATCTCCTGAAAAAAAAAATGCTTGCTTTAATCACACAGTGCTCTGTATCATTTCCTGTGATGTGGCTTTCAGCTTTAGAATTTAAAACCTTCTGCGCATTCCTTACACTCCTGCATCACTGGAGCTACTGTAGTACATGGTTTGTATTGTACTCCACAAGATAAACTTATACCAATGTTTAAAATAATTTTTTTCCAATGGTAAAGCTGTTTCTATTCAAATATCAAAGACATAATCAGTAATTTCTTTTCCTCAAACGACTTTAACATCAGGACACAAGGAACACTATAGTTTGCTAATTCTGAGTTCAGAAAATGATGTACTTTCTTAGAGGAGTTCAATGCTAATCTTTCAAGAATAGCTTGAAAGTTAACCATGAGGTGCAGTATATTGATTTTTTAAAATTAATTACTGATTCACAGATTTTAACAGTGCAAAGAGCATCGGTATTATTTGGTCCTTAAATTTTATTAGATTTTTTTCCTGAATTTGGTTTAGAAAATAGCAAAGCAAATTCATTTTCTTTTCGAACGTTTCAAAACAAACTATTGGATTTTGGATTTAATCAGCAAAAGCCTTGGGGAGAATCAACATGGAATATTTCAATTTAAAGTACTTTTGAAGTAAACAACAAATGGTAAAATTTGTTTTCAGAAGCAGAAACAATCCTTCAGATGAAAAGTTATGGTCCCACCTGCTGTTCCAACAGTTCATATGGCTGTTAAAGCTTCCACAGGTTTAATCAAAGACGACCCCCTGGTGGTGTGGTCAACATTCTTCACTCAACCAACACTAACATGCAATAATTAACTAGTCATTCCTCTCAATGTGATTTGTAGATCATTGCTGTACCAAAATGGTAGCTGTAGAACCCTAAATAACACCACTTAGTACATAAGTACCTTGAGATGTTTCTGAAAGATATGATTAGGCACTGTATAATTACAGAGATAGAACGAACTGCCGATGCTGGAGTCTGAGATAACAAGGCGTGGAGCTGGAGGAACACAGCAGGCCAGTCAGTATCAGAGGAGCAGGAAA